TCCTCTGGCCATGGGTCACAGGAGAATTTATGTGCTCTGGCCTGAAGCTGAAGGAGGGGATGTATAGATGGGATATTGGGAAGGGATTCCTCCCTGGGAGGGTGCCCAGAGCAGCTGGGGCTGCCCCTGGATCTCTGGAAGTGTCCAAGGCATGGCTGGACAGGGCTTGGAGCCACCTGGGATAGTGGGAGGTGTCCCTGCCCATGGCAGAGGTGAAATGGGATGTGCTCTAAGGTCCCTTCCAACCCAAACCCATCTGTGATTCTGTGATTCCAGGCTCTATTGCTCTGTACCATTTCCTCATTTCTGACTGTCCAATAACATGAGCAGCTACCTTGAGGAAGACACTGACTTCTCTCAATCTCCATGTTTGGAGATCAGATGTAAACAGACACCTGAAATTTTGTTCTATTATAGAGAGGCCCTCAATTACCCAAAACCAGTGAGGAAGAGCCCACACTCCAATTTTAAGTCACTTTGCTGCATGGTCACAGAATCACAGAATGTCCTGAGTGGGAAGGGACCCACAGGGATCATCCAGTCCCACTCCTGTCCCTGCCCAGACCCCCAACACCCCCACCCTGTCCATCCCTGGCAGTGCTGCCCAAAGGCTCCTGGAGCTCTGGCAGCCTCAGGGCCGTGCCCATTCCCTGGGCAGTGCCAGCACCCTCTGGGGGAAGAACCTTGCCTTGATCTCCACCTGAACCTCCCAACACAGCTCCATTCCCTGGTCACCACAGAAAAAAAGCTAAAGAATACAAATCCTAAAGAATAAAGGAGTATAAATGAAAAGAAAACATATTTATAATTGCATTTTAGCCAGCCTGGCTCCCCAGTTCTCTGTTTAAAAGCATCATAATCTGAGTAAGAGCAACCTGAGGCAATCAGGAGGGAACCAGAAGGGAATTGGAGCCTTCTGGGCCACCTTTGCACTGAATTGAGAAGCAATCTTCCAGCGTGACAGGCAGGGCTGGAGAAGGCTCCCTTGCAGAGGAGCACGTTAATGATGAAATGATTAATGGCAGCTCTTCCTTCAGAAGGAGACATAAAAGCCCTGACAGACAGCTGTGGATGGGCACCACTGCCAGTTTGCAAACACTCCTCCCCAGTCCCCGAGGAGGTGAAGCAAGAGTGTGGTAATGAAACTGCACATAGTGAAATGGTAGCTAAATGAGTTTAAATTGATTTATGGTAGCTTTTGTAAAGATTATTTGGTATCTGGAAAGTGCTACCCATGTGAAATAATGCAGATAATCCTTAAGATCCCTGTCTAATGGCACTCCCACTGAATATTTATATTCCTCACCATGGGAATGAGAACCATAATGGGGACCATTTTTGTTTTATTAGGGATGAATATTTAAATTAATCTGCTATTTGCCTAAACAATTAGCCGCCTCTGTTTGTTTACACAAAGCCAAAACTGCAATTAGGCTTCCATCAGAAAGATCAGTCCCGACTAAAACTGTCCCGACGGAGCCGTAAGGGCTCCGAGCAGAACTTCCCAAAATGACTTCTTAGCATAATGGTAATTATGTTAATTGCTTGAAAGGTAAATAACTGCTGAACTGGGTCTGCAAAACAGGCTGGTTGCACACAGCTTCAAACCAGTTAACAAATCCAAGTGGGCAGCACAGG